ACACACACGCGCACGCACGCACGCACGCACGCACGCACGCACGCACGCATGCACGCACACCACAAAAAGCAACCCTCTCTCCCTGTCTTATAAATAGCAACTGGACTGGTACTAATGTAGTTCCAGCTCATAAAGAAACAGATCTTGTGTTTTGAAGAAGGAGGAATGGGCAAGGTACTGACTGATACCCTACAGTGACACCTAGGAATGTCTTTGCCCTGAAGAAAACAAGAGAATAGGGCTTGGAGAATGGGCCACTGCTGCTTGCCAACTTGGGTGTGGCTCTACAACCATTGCTAATTTGCCTTTCCCCCACCTCACCCGGAAACGCACTTTAACTTAACAAAACCCTTTGCTGTTAGTGGAGGGAAGAAAATGACTACAGGGAGGACCAGATCATACCTTGCCAGCTTCTACTCACCAAGCTGAACTTGTCCTTAGCAGGCCCAGTGTCTGCCAGCAGTTTGGTCCTGGGGTTCATTTTTAGAATGTCCCCAGTTGTAGTGCCAAGGTAGAAAAAGCCATCATCACTAGCCATCTGGGAGGGCAGAAACAGAAACCTAAAGACCAGGACTCTCCAGGGGTCTGTGAAGTCCCGGTTAGGGAGGAGATGAAATTCCATAATGACTGACAGAGAAGCGCACAGTAATATCTCTTTCCCAAGACTCAAGGATAGGTCAGCACAGCTGGAAGAGAAGCTGAGTCAGGGCTGCCCAAAGCTGGAGGAGATGTTGGACTCTGAATTTCACTTGACACTCATTTGGGTCTGATGCTAGTGCCAACTGCCGGGCTCTTAGGATAAAGATGTGCTTCTCCTAGGAGGACACACATTTGCTTTATCTCAGTTTCCAGAGGTTGTGTTCATAAAAAAGAACTACACATTAAAAAGTATAAGTCAATGGAGCATAGAGTTCTATGGATGAATTATGACTCCACATTCAAACATATTAATAGTAACTCTTTGTGAAAGAGTGCACCTCAACAATGAATTTTACTATTAGAGACTTTATTTCCAATGGAAGAAATAGCGATGATGGCAGAGGTGGGTGTTGTATGCTCTCAGTATCATCTGGCCACATTGCTTCCCTCTAGGTCAGGCTTTGGATGTTCGATGACTGCTCAGGTCCCAGTATAATGGGACTGCTTAGTGCTGCCCGGCTCCTCCCAGATGTGATGCTCCCTCTTAGCTGTACCTCCTCACCAACATTCTACAAGTCCGTGCTTCCTTACTAGCCTGGCCCAGTGTGCACACTCCTGCTCAGGACTGATGGCAGGCTCTTGCACTATAGTAGTCACTTAATGTAGCAAGGGTTGAGGTGGTACTTACTCCAGTACTCATGACTATTCTTTTCTTTTGTCCTGTTTGACACTCAGTTGGCCAGATTTTTCTATTTGGGAGATCCAGTTCCCACACTCGAATTGTCCCACTAAAAAGAAAAATCACAATCAAATGGATACCCAGCAGAACAGGATTCATACCCAGCTATCTCAGACACTGACGTGCACACTCTTCCCACTGTACTGAAAACAAGCATGTATATAATAAAGCATAGAAACCAAGCATGATGACACAGGTCTTTACACTCAGCATGTAGGAGACATATCGAGGCAGGCAGATCTCTGAGTTTAAGGTCAGCCTCATCTACATGGTAAATTCCAGGATAGCTAGGGCTACATAGTGTGACCCAGTCTTAAAAATTAATAGATTAATTAATTAATTAATCATGCAAATAAATTAGGAGAAGCATTTCATTTTCATTCTTTCCCTCTTATTGACAAGTACAATTATATATACTTATGATATGGAACGTGACGTTTTAACACATGTATACATTGTGGAATGGTTAAATTAAACTACTAAGCATATGTATTACTTTGCTTATCTTTTTGTAGTGAGAACACTTGAAATCCACTCCTAGCACCTTTCAGTGTTACTTAATAGACACTGTGTGCATGTATTGTTATGAACCGCAGTCATCATAGGGTATACAAACTGAGTGTCCATCAGCAGATGAGTGAGTGGATGAAGAAACTGTGCATATATACAAAAGAAAACTGTCCAGTCTTAAGAGGAGTGGACATCTGGAGAACATCATTCTGGCTGGAATAAGACAGTAACAGAAAGACAAATATTGCCTGATCTCACTCATGTGGAATCTAAATGGAAAGGAGGGAAAGTGGAAGACGCTTATTCGGGACACCAAATCTCAGTCAGGAAAAATAAATCAAGGTGTTCAGTTGTGTTGAAACATTTAAAAGAGTGATATCTTTTTCTTTTAGAGGCAGGATCTTATGTAGTCCAGGGTGGCCTCAAACTCACTGTGTACTAAGGCTGGCCTTAAAATTCCTGCCTCTGCTTCCCAAATGCTGGGATTACAGATTAGCTCCTTGCTTACTGGGGGCTATTTTAGCTTGGAGGTTCCTGTCTCCAAGGAAAGAGAAATGAGATTGAGTGAGACTTTAGGTCAGAAATTAGTGCGACACTGAATATGTGGCTGGCACTTTACCGCCGTGTGCTGAGTTCATCTGAATCAGTAACTCTGTAATAATAATTAAAATACCAAGGGGAATATAATCAAAGAAAATATTGCAAAGAGTTAGGCCAACATCTCAACCAGAAAATATTAGAATATGCCAACTTTAGTTTTTCTTTGTTTTTAGCCTCCAGAATTGTACATATAGTAAGATTTAAATGTATTTTTTCAAAATGAAGAGGGAAAGAAAGCGAGTGAGCCCATGGCCTTATTGGTAGATAGAGTATAGATGCCGAAACTCTGGGATGCCCGGGCTGAATCAAGGAGACCATGGAATACACACAACCATGATTGTGATAGAGAAGCCAGGGTATCCTGGTGTCACAACAGAAATCTTAAGAATGTAGGTCACTCTTAAGTACAGGTAGCACATGAAATTGAAGCCAGCTTGGAATACAAATGATGCAAAAACAAAACAAACAAACAAACAAACAAACAAAAACATTATTTCCCACCATACTTAAGGTTTGACTTTTGGAGAAACCCTGCCCACAGACTTTAGAACAGACTGATGCCTTCAGCTACTAAGGAACCAAAGAACCCAGACCCAGCAAAACAGAGACAAGCTGCTCTACAGACTAGAAGGGTGTGGGGTGGACGGCAATTGCTTCTGAGTTGGGGCTGTCTGGGCAGAAAGAGCAGGGAAGGGTCCTGACGGGGGAGGGCTTTCATGGATGCCAAGGAATTTACCTCCTCTCATGAGTCAGTCCTCACTCAGCCATGGAATAGAGGCAGAGAAGCACAGATTTACTCTGGCCGGGAAGGGAATGAACACTGTGTACCTTTCATGGATGGGAGATGACAGGGGAATTGCAAAGATAGTTTCATACAACTTATCCCTCCTTGCCTTTGAGCTGGTGGGTGATGTGGGAAAGGACAGTTTTATGTCTGTTTCACCTTCCCCTCAGGACATCAAGCAGGGCTTTTGATTGCCAGTTTGTAAATTAATTTTTGCTGTGGGAGAGATGCAGGTTCTTTTCACATGTTCAGCTCTCTTACCTAAACTGGCTGAAGCTGACCCTACTACCTAAGTTATGTCCCTTGGCTAATAGCTTAAACATCCAAAATATACTAACATGGCTCTTTTGCAAAATATCACTTCATTTGGCCTAAATCAAGAACAGGTGGTAAGAAATACCAACCAGGAAGTGAATCCATGCAATTGTGCAAATTACTTGGCAAGCATGGACTGGAAATCATGTCTTTTCAATGACAAAAAGAATCCTAAGAAGGGTTCGGGAGCAATGAAGTGGCTAGGTGGATAAAGGAGCTTGCTGCCAAGCCTGAGTTCAGTCCTCAGGACCTATGTGATGGGAGGGAAGAACTGATTCCCATGAGTTGTCCTTTGACCTCCATAGCTTACTGAGGCACACTCATGGACACGCATACACACAATATGCAAATAAATGTAATATTTTTTTAAAAGAAGCATTTAGCCATTCTATGGCATCTTTTCAATAGAACTCAACAGCATTTTCAAGAACCATACTTAAACCCAGCTGAAAGGGTTTTTCAGGGTTTACAAAAATTACAATGTAAGGTATTTTGTCCGGGCCTCAACACACCCTTCCCCCCATCGCCACACGGTGAACTGGCAGGGGCCCGTTTTCTTTGCCGATGACGTGAAAATCTGAATCTGACGTCCTGGCCGCACAGACTTACTTTCCAGCAGTGACAAACATCTCATCCCGGCACCGAGAGAAGACCACGGTGGTGGCATTGCCGAGGTTGAGGCCCGCCAAGGGGCTGCCACAAATGGCATCTCTCTTGCCTGTGCTCCAAACCACCACACTGCCAAACAAGAAGGGGAAAAGACACCAACAGGGCAAATCAGACTTTCCTCGTTAACATCTGTTTTAATGGTTCTGGAGAGAAAAAGAACAAAATGAACCGGCCCTAGTGAGGGAACACTTGGCCTCTCCTTCCCCACGCCCCCGCATCTCCTCAGTGCTTACACTGCTTCCTAGAAGACAAGCATGTGATGCTCTACAAGCTTTGAAGGAAAACTACTCTGGGACTAGTAAACCCATCATCAATCAAGGCATTTCAGACTTACAAGCCTCAAGTGGACCAAGTATTCATCTCATGTACAGATTTTTCTTGGGGCTGGAGACATGGCTCAGTGGTAAAAAGTACTTGCTGCTATTCCAAAGGACTAGAGTTTGGAAGTTCCAGCACACATATCAGGTGTCTTACAACCTCCTGCAACTCAGATCCTTTAGGATCTGAGATGGCCTCTTCTTACCTCTTCTGGCTCTTAAACAAACAAACAAACAAACAACAAAACCTTTTCTTCCCCCAGGCTGTGATATGGTTCAGGGCAGATTGGAGCTTGCTGCTCAGCCTCCCAGTGACCCATGTAGTGAAGGGAGAAAATGGACAAGCTGTTCTCTGATATCCACATGTGCACCATGGCACACAGACAGACAAACACATAGATAGACATAGTTCTAATTTTTAAAATCTTTAAAATGTTTTTTTTTTAAAAAAAAAACCAGAATGTTGATTTATTAGGTCTTCCCGGGCTCCATAAGCACTCCCTTTTTCTAGTTAGTCTGTATACTACTACACCTCCAGTGTGGATGTCAAGGCCAATAAAGGCTTCTCTAGTCTTGAGGATTTGTTCTAGCAAATAAAAAGAAGAAAACATAAAGGCCACTGTAATGAAGATGATATAAGGTAGTATTTCCAAACTTAAAGAGGCAACAGGACCAGAGTCAACCTGACAGTCAGCTATCTGATTTGATCAGTACATCATTCAAATATAGTGAATTATTTAACAACTGATTTTTATTTATTTATTTATTTATTTATTTATTTATTTATTTATTTGAG